TCCAACCCAAACTATTTTGTGATTCTATGATAAAGCATGCTTGTACAGATGAATTTCATAAAGGAACCCTTTAAGTAGTTTGGAAGGTCAGTCGATAGTGGTCTGTGTGTAAACTTCATCTGCTCCACTTATAAGTAGTTTGGAAGGTCAGTCGATAGTGGTCTTTGTGTGTAAACTTCATCTGCTCTACTTACACCCATCTGAAGAGCCAAGCATTAGTCTGAGCTAATTATTTTGACTTCCTATGAGGAGAAAGAAGAGAAGCAATAGGAAAATAATCCAACCGTTTGATGGGGGGTGAACGAGAAGGAAAATAATGGTCCTCTGCAGATGGCCTTCTTTTCCCCTCACTGTCCTGGGCAGAACAGAACAAACTAACTCAGGCAAGATCTCCCACTTACACACACTGCTGTCAGGACAGATGATATTTCAGAATCCCCAGGCATGCAGTCAGGGTGGACAGGATCAACAGGGGAAGCCAGATCTTTTATGGTGAATGTAGAAACCTTGCTGCAAAAACGCGGACCTTCACATTACACTATTTATAAAAGAAATGGATGATATAACAATGGGGAAAAACATGCTGCAGCAAGAATACACTTGGATTCTGAATCAGGCATTTGTCCTCTTATGATAAACTGAATTACAGGACCCCAACAGAGAGAAATGTTTCTTGTTTTCCTAGCTCATGACAATGTAAATTCTGAACCAAGCAACTATATTCTGCGCTACAGGTAGGGTTACTCAAGTACTTCATTCACACCAGTAAATCCCCAGAGTGATAAAAAAAACATCAGTCTCAGCTGCTTAAATCGTACAGGGTCACCCAGCACTCCTGTTTCACTGCTCAGCATAAAAGGTTTGTTCACAGTACAGTTCTGAAAATTCAGCTTCGGCCAGAGGTCACAATCATGAATGATAGGCTGAGAAATACATATACATCAAACATTTCAGCCCCCAATTCAGTCACCTGAAAGCAAGACAGCATGAATACTTATAACTATACAACACATGCAAGAAAAAGTCTATTGAAAATTAAGAGAGAAGTGAGCACACTAATTATTGTGTATTACTAAAAATCACAGAATGAGACTTTAGAAATGCACACTGCCCTGAAGTGTAATTATTTCAGCTAACATTAACATTCATCAAATATTTTTAAATCCACTGCAGACATACTGTACACTCAGATTCTGTAGCTATTTTTGCTAGTCATAAAAGAGACCCAATGCAATAAGTGGTGTTTTAGCACTACTGCAGTTAAAGAGTAGGGAGAGAAAGAAAAGAATTAAAAAATAAAATAAAAAAAAAAAATCACACACCATCCCTATCGGCTCTCGTTTTGGTGACCAGATGTGGGCATTGGTAATCTGTTAACTACTTCACCACAAAAATCAACTAAGCAAACTTTCTGTCAGTAAAGTAACATTCCACCATCTAAGGTCAGCACCTCCACTGGGACACATGTAGAGGTCTGCAATTCAAACACCCTCCCACTCTGCCGCACAAGTTTAAAGCAAAACATGGAGGAGTGGAACAGCCCAGCCGGGGTTACGCTGAACCTTGACTTCACAGGCGAAACGTTTGTTAACTTCAGCCCATCCAGTCTGGTTCTTGTTCACATATCCTGTGGCCACCAGAAGCTTCACAAGGCGGGGATAGTTGGATGACAAAGCAAAACATTAGAACCTCATTGCCCCAGTTCAGTGGCCATTGGTGTTTTTCGACCAATTGCAAAAAAAGAAGAAAAAAAAAAAGAGGAGGGGAGAGAGGACAGATAAAATGGACTTAGCAAACCAAGAAGCTATGCTGATGAATGTGTACATTCCATCATATTCATCACCAGGACCACTGCTTGGCAAATACTGTCTTTCCCATCCAACCCATTTTATCAGCTTGACCAAAAAGGATAAATGCTATGAAGCAGAAGCCACTGATTAAAAAACCTGGAGAATTCTTCTAGATTACTTTTTCTATTCTCTCATTAGAGACCAGTACCAGGACATTTTCTTTTTTCTTTTATTTAAAAGAACTGACAAAACACTTTCATATTTCTAGGACAAATTTTATAACACCTTTATTACTCAGAAGCCTCACTCCTTTGTGCTTGGACATTTCATCACACTCCTGACACACACAGCGAGTGCTCCCCAAGCAAGCAGAACTCCCCAGGAAGCCAGAGGAGCTGCTTCCACCCTCATCAGTCCTGAGCTGGGTCCAGTAAGCAGAGATAAATTCTCATCCTCTTGTTACCGAGTTCAGTCAGCCCTTCAGTGTTGTTTGATATAATTGTGAAAAAAAAGTGGATTTTTTAAGAAAGCAAAAGCAACCAAAAGCATTAATGAGCTACACTACAATAAAAAGTATAGTCTGTTTGTGTCTATATAGCACTTGCCAAGAGAAGGCAAAATAAAAACCCATCTCACTTCATTTATCAGTTTCTTTTCGTAGTTTTCATGAACTTTTTAAAGGACTGTTAATTTGTCTCTGAGTCAGATAAAACACCTGCCATTGCTAACATAAGATAAAAAGTCTAACTGTAGTGGTTACCATTAAAAAGTCTTTATTATTTACTACTGCTGCTACCACATAATGAGACAAAGTGTGTCACCAGATACGCACACCTTACTTAGGAATCATAACTCCCTGAATAAATAATCTTCTTCTAGTAAGTGACAGACCAGATTTGGGTCTCACGCTCACAATGAACAGGGCTTTATGGGTGCAACATGTTGGAAGCCTTGATAAAAGTTAATACATCTGTAAGAGATAATTTTCTGAATCTTGTTAGGAAACTCACCTTCTGTTAAAGCCTATACTCAGAGAAGTACAGGACTTCAAAAGTATAGCAAAACTTGAAATTTTTCTTAATGGAACCCTACATGTCCTGACTCATTGAGTTTATCTAGAGATAACCATGATATTAAAACCAAACAGACCAGACATAAGAGCCAGAAGGAGCATTTTAATGAAAAAAGATAAGAAATCCAGAAAACACCTACAACAGAGGTTAGATGTAGGTGATGTTAGTTAAAGAAATAACATATATTTTAAAAATGTCTATTAAAAACCATCCTTGCTTTTGCCAGTGAAGCCTTCTGCTCTGTAAAAGTGTCTGCTCAACTGCTTGAACATTTTTATATACCATAAATACTGAAAAATCCATTACTGATCAAGAAAGTGTGTATATTTGTATACATAAATACATACTTTAAAATAAATATATAAACCAAAAACCCTAAGTATTTTTACAATTTATATAATTTCCTTAATTTGTATTATATCCTGTATGTTATCAGAGTCTCACTGGATTATGCTCATCAGTTTAAACATGAATAATCTTGGCCTTTTCTGGACTTGCTCACATTTGTAAAAAGGTGGTTCCTTAGGGAACCAGCTGAGGGAGACTAATATCATTGTTCCATTTTTCATTAAAATCCTACCTCCGTCAGCCTATAAAAATTAGATTCCATACTCATCAGGAACTTCTAAATGAGTGATCCTTCACTCACGCTACACTTTCTACTATCAACACCCCAAATATAGAATGAAACATTTGTACTCCCCTATTTATGTTACAGTAGTTGCATAAAAAGGAACTTTAAATCCATCTGTAGCCCACGAGTTACTACTGTTTTGCAAGTCCACAGCTGAGGACAGAAAAAGAAGGACAGAACACACTTCGTTAGAAAAGAGATTTTGTTTGTTTCTTTGGACAGCAGAACCTTAAAGCAGTCAGGGGTTTAAAGTGCTGGAATTGGTCCCAATGAAGACAAATTAGAAAGCTGAAAGCAGAGAAGGTCTATAAGGTGTCTTAAATTGGACAGTCTATAAGGTATCTTAAATTGCATTCAATACATTGCATTGCTTTGTGCAATGTAAGTCTTACTACTGTGGATATGAAGTATGTGTTAATATTATTTTAATACATAGAATTGCAAAGAAACCTTTTTAAAAACAGCTGAGCAATGAGGAAATATAAAACAAATGGATCTGCCCACAATCTTTTATTTACAATACTTTCTTCTATTCCTGCTCAACTTTCCACTGTACAGATATGATTGCATGGATAAAGTTTCATAATGACAGCTTAATTCAACTCCTGAAGCCACAAAAGTTACTAACCCAACTCTATATTCACATTTTAAGAGGATAAAGCAACACAATTTTTAAACTCAAGGCAGAGCAAGCCCTAAAAGACGGGACACCTCAGGCTATAGCATGTGAATCCAAATGAAAAACATCACTAAGTTAATACCACATATAAAAAGCAAAGTTACTAACATGGCAGCAGTGCATTCAGAAAAACAGTCCACTTCATTACCTTGATACTATTATGCCAGGCTTACTCCATCAAGCAAAATGGTTTTTTTGGTAGTTGGTTTGTTTTTAAATCTGAAGCATGCCCAACTTTCTAAATAAAGCTACTGCAATCAGATGTAGGAAACCAATAGTTGATTTCACTACTTTGAGAGCACTGCACTTCCCCACTTCCCCTCTTCCCCAGCTATCTCCAGCAGGGACAGCCTTGGAAATGGTTTTCTATTCATCAATCCAACAAGTACAGCTCTCACAGTGGAAACAGGCTCCATTACATTAAATCACAGATATATTTCATCTTTATTTTCCACTAGGATAAGCCTTTTGCAAGCAAAGACAAGCTGGATCTGACTGTGTTCCATGTTAACCACACATGAGCCCCTTCTCAATTGGAAGCCCCATTGCGTCATTTAGCTTCTTCACAACCAAGCTTGTAAAATCTCCTCTGAGCTTAACATACCTCCTCAGCTTTCAATACAGGGCAGATTTTCATCTGGTGATGTTGAAACACAGGCAGGGTTAGTGTGCCTTTGTCTGCAAAAAGCTGGGTAAATGCATTATTATAGAACCATAGAATAGTTTCGGTTGGAAGCTTTGTCTCAAAGCCCATCCAAAATTTGGTGGTCTTGATACCAAATGGATGATTTAAAGCACTAAGCACAAACCTGTTCTCAAAGGGTTCAAGAGAAGTCAGCAACATTCTTGATAATTGGCCACAAAACAGACTGCCAGTAGCAGTGATTTTGATCAATGCCGTCCTGTACTGGATCTAGTTCAATGACTTAAGACAGAATGAAATGAGTTTAAATTGTACTCATTTAAAACTAGATATTTTAGATAAAAATCAGAATGGAGAATTCACACCGAGCCTTTATTGTCAAGGATACTGCTCAAAGCGTTTAATGCTATTGTGTTCTAAAAGTGAAATACATCACGACTGTATGTGTATTATTTGTTAGATTTATGGTACTGATGACAGTATGAAATACTCTTATTCGTTCAGTCATTGAATTAATTGTTATTGCCTTTTTTGAACCTTTAAAAAAAAGATACTCATTTTATTTGCTCTATTAACTCCTAAAGTGTCAGACTCAGTAAAAACTCAATTTTCCACTCTGCAGAAATCACTCTCAAAACCCTAGTTTTAGGCCTTTAAAGGTCAAAAAGACTGATAAGGCTTTTAAAGAATCTCTCCCAATTTTATCGTAAACATTCTCTTATTTTTCATTCTAGTTAAAAACATATCTGACAAATTATTGTCCTACACCCAAAGCATTTGGAGCGCACACATTCACCTGCACTTGGTAGTCATGTTTGCTGCACACAAACAAGAAACAGCAGCTTATGAATGAGAACAGACACTTCATTTGTCCTTAGGAATTCACCTCTGAAGTACGTTTATTCACTGACATACCAGACACGGAAGAATTGACCTGGTATTTTACCTAAAATTAGTTAACAGTTTATTAAACTCAGTCACCCATATAAAAATCTGTATATTCATATACCTATAGAACCTTTCTCTTCCTTTACCTGCCCCAGGAAAAATAAACAAGCAAACAAAAAAAACCTCAAAGAAAACATATCTATTCCCATTCTGGTTGTTACCCAAGTCATTTGGGAAAAAAAAAGTCTCCACAGTGCCTGAAAAAAACAGATATTGCATTATTTTAGTTATCTTCATCTAGAGAAAAATAAAATAATGCAATGTCCAGGACATGTGTCAGCTAAAACTCTACAGCTATACCTTGCTTCTGTAATACCCACTTCCTCAGACTGTTACTTTAGCATCTTTGTATGTCTTTAACAGGATGATAAATGCTTTTTAAGCAGTAGCCAGGACTTCAAGAAGCCTGGATTCTCTAAGACTCACCAAAATAATAAGAACCCAATCCTACCTACCTTAGATATTTCTGGCTCCGCTTGTTGTCTCTTGGGTGTCTCTTTTGACTCAGGCCCTTTTGGAGTACTAGTGTTCTTAACAGAGGGCGACTCAACTCCTTCACCTTCAAGTTGCAGATTAATACCTTCTGTGGGGACAGGGTGATCAATACCATTTGGATTCAGATTGCAATGGATAGCTGGGAAAAAAATATGAGACAGAGAAAACACTGCTTAGGGAATAAGAATCTGATGTTACAAACATTTATCATAAAGTACTAAGAAGTGCCATGTGGTAACCAGAGCTATGTCAGATCATGGCAAAAGAACTGTCTGTGGCTTGACATGGGCTCAGGGTGAGATATTTGTGAAAGAAAATCAGAAGCAATGCAGCATTGTAAAAGGCTATTTTAGTGCAGGCTACTGCACTGAACTGTATTCTGCTGGATTCACTACAGCATCCAAGACCCTCAACTTACAGATTTTACTAGGATAGGACAATATATCCCCTGTATTCATCATTCAGCCATACCTTTTTTCTTTCCTAGGCAAGCAAGTTGAAGTTTTTGTATTACATTTTCAATTACTACAACACTCTAAGTCCTAAACAATGTGGAATAAGTAAGCTGTGCACAGCAAGTCGGTCTCTGCACAGAGTAATGACTTACCCAGCTGATTACCTCTCCTTCAGCACTTTGTACCACTGCAAATTACCACCTACACCATCCTAACAAGCAAGAGGGATGTACTCTCCAGGAGCATATAATGAGGTGTGGACTAATGACAGCAGAATAAGGAAAGCAGCCGGAGGAAAAAAATGAAACAAATGCAAACCATGCCACAGAAACGCATATTTAGAACTATGGTAGCAGTTTAATCGTTCTCTGTCCAAAATGTCACAGTTCCACCACTCACATAGCGAGTAGCCTTAACAACCTTCTTGGCACATGTAGCGATTTTAAAATGATCCTGAGGCAACTTCCCCTCCACACAACCATCCGATTTTTGCCTTCATGTTCCTGGGTAACTGCGCTACTTTTAGTGCGACTCATAATTAATGGTCCCAACTTCCCCTGTATGCAAAAGAACATTGCTCAGATACCGTGGTGCAATGTTTGACAGACCTGAACAGAAACCCAAAACACAATGTAAAGCCAAAATAAAAGCTGCCCTTGCTTGGCTTAGAAGCAAAGGGTGGGGAGCAGGGGAAGGAATCAGAACTGCCAACTTCTACAAGCTACCGATCAGCCCTTGAAAGCCTCTCACAGGAAATGGGCTCAAGCTGCCAGAGAAGGCAAAGGGTCCTTCAACTACAGCACCTTTTGAAAATCCATTCACCTTAAATCCCAGTCTTAACTGAAAACTTCGAGCCTAAATTACAGCAACTCCTTGGTGCAGAATTAAAGCAGAGGCCAAAAAGTTGGCCTTTTCTCCTCAGGATTTTTAAAAACATCCAGATATTTGTAAAAGATAAGTGCTCTGTCCAAGTGCTACAGTACCCCTATCTGCAAGCGAGGGATGGAAACATCTGCTACTTTCAAGTTAAAGGAACATTATGAAGAATAGTTAGTTAACAACACTGAGTGATGGAAAGCAGTAAAGAACTGCAACATGTTTTATTACAAATTGCAGGCATTTTGTATAGAAGAATAGAAAAATATGTCACTGGCCCACAGAAAACTGGTAAATGAAACTGAAAATGGGAAGGGAACTAAATTCCAGTCTCACTGTGACTAGCTGTAGAGGATTAGTCCTGGACTTCTTTTACAAGTATGTAAAGGAGAGCCCTCTCCAGAGAGTCAATTCTTAGCAGACAGCATGAGAGTAAGAGGAATCACTAGACTACATCATGTCCAGAGCTGAGCCCTACAGAGACCCCCTTCTGGAGAAGGAAACAGAAGAGATGAAGGATGCAGAGCTTCTGGAGGTGAAACAGTGTTTCTATTGGCCACCCCAGGGACCACCCCAGAAGAAGGATTTCCAGATAAAAATCCCTTCTTTCTCAAAAGGCATCCTCCATCTGCTTAGGCCTTGCATAGAGAGTTGTGGCTTTGCTTTAAAAGCACTGAAAACCCTCTGAGAAGTTTTTTGGGAACTCCTGAGTTTCCCCTTCAGGGACCAATTTCTCAAAAACAAGAGTATTTTTTATTTTAATAGGGAAAAAAGCACATAAGGAAAAGGGGTCTGCAGCAGTCTGTGTAGCTTGTTGTTCTCATCTGTCATCTTTCTGCCTCATTTTAGTAGGGCAAGCATCTGCAATTTCTTTCCGATACCCAGAGAGCTTGCTTCAGAGCCTCGTTTCCCAAACCAACACTAAGAACCAACCACTTCCCTAAGTCTACCTGCCGCTCTGCTCGCAAATCTCTTTCTTCCCTGTTTCAACCAATTCTGTAGCTTGGCTGACGACAACGCAAAACCATTCTAGCATTGCCTCTCACTGGCAAGGAGGGAAAAATAGATGACTGTCTTCAAGTCACTCCTTTCCTCCTACTGGTTTTCCCAACCACACCACTGAGTCAATCCAAAGCATAAATACTTAAACATTAACAGTGTTAGTAGAGGCATTTCCTAACTTTTGAGTCCTTTATTTCTAGGTACACTCTATACCTACCCCTTCCTGAATTTTGCTTTTGTCATGGCTACAAGACTATGATGGAACTGAACTTGAACACAGCTGCTGCTCAGTTTTTCTCTTGCAGGACCTCTCTGTGTCAGAGAAAATGCAAAATCCTTTTTACTTCTGCAGTGAAGCCAACAGGCTTCACCTGCTCTGGCTACATGGCCACTATGGAGAGGTATCCAGAAGCTGCCAAGCTGTTATGATGAAGGGAGTCTTTAGGGCTTTTAAGCTCCCATGGGAGGTTTCAAAGAGATATTATTTTGTGGTTTATATTTACATCAGTGTGTCTTAAGACACCAAAAAATTATTTCCTAGATCATATCCACCTATCATTATCTCTCCTCTACATCATATTTACCTACCTGAAGGAAACAAGTAATTACTAGTAACTACTTTGCTTATCCACCAGACCACAGAAAAGATGGATGTGATCCACCAAGACTTTTTCCAGCCCAGTGAGGATGGAAACTGTTCTGTTAGTAGCCAAACTAATTCCGTCCTTGACAAAAAGAGGCAGATATCCTAATGAACCTGTAAAAGTATTCCCAGCGCACCCTGCTCCAGCAAGGGCTAGAAATTAGCAGTGAAAGACACTTGGTATGGAGTGTGGTCCATAAAAATCCCTCCAACTGTCTTCTGCAAGGGTCCTGCCTAGCTGAACAGGATGACTCCTACCTACATCTCTGAAACGCTAACACACATCTGCAGCACCCAGAAACAGGCAGGTTTTGGCTGTCGGCCCCCTCCCAGTGCTCACTAGAGAGAAATCGAAAAACAGTGGGACTTAACACTGCTTGGAAGAACACTGCCAACAGCAAGCTTCCTGTGGATTGCAACTCCTCCCTTCCCACTGCCCCCAGACAACACGGATTAGGGAGGAGGGTGGCAGGGGATGGATAAGGAAAGCCTTCTCAGTTACAGCATTGATTTACCATGCATTACAGGGAGCAAGTGATCCAGATTTCAGATAACACGGTAGCATAAGCATCACCTGGATGGCTCAAAGAAATAAATCACATGGCAAGATGCTGCTTGACTCTTAGCCCATCATTCTCCATCACGAGTAATGAATGTTAGTGCTGTTTAAGCAATGCTTTATACTGGGCTCCTTCAGGATACAAAAGAGAAAGATTAGAGAGGCTGGTAGCAATTACATACATGCCCATTACCTCGTTATTGAATAGAGGTGACTGGTTAAAAGAAACAGTCTGCCTCAGGAAAGACTTTTCCAAAGTTGCTGATGGGGGGGGGAACTTTTTTTATTTCATTATATTTAGTTCTTCTGTCTTCTTCTCCCCCATCACAGCCCTAGCTTACCATACACCTGGACTGAATCTGTTCCTTACAGAGGCACATCTAGAACAAGAGCCTCAGCACAGGGAGAAAGTAGACTGAAGGGCAGGAGGAAAAAAAAAAAACAAAACAAAAACAAAACAGAGGTGAGGATAAGTGTCTCAGTCACTTGGCAAGGCTAATCTCCCTTTGTCATAAGCCATCTTCAGGTAGCCAGCTCTATTGTTTTCCCCAACTGCTGCCTCCAACTCTCAGCTACAGGGAGGGTAAGAAGGAAAGAGTATTTGCCTGCAGGGGTCTGTTCTTTCCTGTTACCACACAGAAATCTGTATTTCCATCTCTGTGGCAGGCAGAGGTGGAGCTCTTGCCTCCTTTTAAATGTCAATACAAACCATAACTGCACCCTTTCAAGATTTGTTAAAAGGGGGGAAGAGGTCAAGGTTTGGTCAATAATACTCTTTTCTTAAATCAGCACCTTCAATAATTTTCGCTAGATAGGACCAGCACTAAACTTGGGATCAACTATGCAAAACTAAAGGGTCTGGGTGCTGACAGCACCCAGGGCTAATGTCCTGTAGAACCGAGTCTAAGCAGCTCTTACTGAAGAATCACAAATTACCAATTTTATCACAACTCAACTGTTCTGACCCTCTTAGTTGACTCTTCTTAAATATCTTTCAGGACTTACTGGCATTTGTCTGGAAAAGATTCTACCTACAGGCAAAGTAGTTTTTTGCTAAAATACTTGTCCAGGCTCTTCCTTCCTATTACCCTGGTATTAGCTAACACTAGCTCACCCCACCCTCTGCATTCAGACCATTTTCCCACACCGCTGCTTTGACAATATCCCTGCTGTCTCAGCACCTCTTCACTCTACCAAATTAAATCCACCTCATCATTCCCAGACTTTAAAAGTCCATCAAGACACCAAACCCTACCTCCAAATCAGCTGACAGTATCAGCCTAACACCACTAGACATCAGCAGAATCATTAGATTTTGAAACAGAACCTCTTCCAATATTCTTTCATACAAGCTCATTATTCATATATCATCTCTATGTCTTGGTAATACAATTCTTCACCCAGCTTCAGAGCACTTAAATTCTCCTTTCCCTGCTGAAAATCCCACCTAAGACTTGATTAATACCATGTCTCTCTTCATGCTTCCCAACAACTGTCACTTAAATTGGACTGAGAGTTTTCTGTGGTGGGAACTTGTTTTCTTTCGGAGAGGGAGGGTGGATGTTCTGTACAGCTCCAACTGCACAGCAACAAGCACATGACGA